TCCCAGTGGGGTTGGGGGGGGAACATTCAGGTCACCAGGCAGCTGACCCAGTGTGGGGCGGGAAAGCCTTCCCAGGGGAGCAGGGGACGCAGGGAGGGCAGAAACTCTCTGGGTACGGGAGCCCCCCCCCCCACTGTAATGACAAGAAGCCTGTGGTCCCAGGAATCCCCAGATTGTGGGGAGAGGGTAGGTAGACTGCGGGTAGGGAGCAGGCAAGGGAGGGCCAGGACCAGACGAGACACAGGTGATCAGTGAGCTGAGCCAGACGTAGGCTCCGTGGCCACAGGAACTCCTGGCCATGTGGAGAGATGAACTGATGAATTGTGCCCACTCTACCGAGTCCCAACCTCCAGAATGCCCCACCCTGGCTCACCCCTCCACGAGCAGAGATCCCTAACCTGGGCTGGCCCTCAGTACTTCCTCAACCCATTCCCAGGCCCTGAGCACGGTCAATGGAGCACCAGGGCCAAGTGTCTGCTCCCCATCCCCATACCAGGTTGGGGGCCCAGCAGGCAGGGCCCCGGACAGCGAAGGGGTGAGCCCAGGCCTGGGGGCAAGGTCAGGCCCTGAAGAGCTGCTAGGTGCCAGAAGCCCGGGCCCCTGCACTCTGGGCACCAGCCAGGCCACCCCAAGTCCCCAGGGCCAGCACACGGGTCGGGGAGCACTTCCAAAGTCCTTTATTGGGCCAGCAAGGCCAGGAGCTGCCCTTGGTGTGGGGTCCCAGTCCCAGTCTGGAGTCTCCGGGTCTATGGTGCCCCTGCCCCTGTTCCTGACCGGGGCAGGTAGCCTCTTCTGACAGGCTACTTGGTTCGCTCCTTCAGGTACGCCCAGCCCTCCCTGGAGTACTCGCGGGCCTTGGAAGGGGCCACCGACAGGGCCGACATCACCGTAATGATGCCTGTGGAGAGGGAGGGCCCAGCGCCTTCAGCCCCCCGCTTTAGTCCAACACCAGCCCCCCGGAAACCCTAGCTCTGCGAGGCTTTTGGAGGCACCCGTTCCAGGTCCATCGGTTCCCACATGGGGAAACTGAGGCAGAGATGGGGCAGGGCTTACTCTTGTCTGAGATCACACGATGAGCTCCAATGTGACCCATCCTCAAAGGAGGCTCCACCTTGCTCACACCTCCCTGAAATCTCCACCCCTTTTCCTCTTTTAGGTCCGTGGGAGCTGCACGGAGCAGCAAGGGGAGCAACGGAAAGGAATGACCAGGAAGCGGTGGTAGGGGGTGCTAGGCTGGGGGGTATCAGGGGCCACCCCCCAAGCACAGGGACCAGGGCCTACCTGAATTCCAGGTGTCACGGATGTGAAAGTTAAACTTTGCAGGGGCTGGGAGCTGGGAAGAGAGGGGAGAAGGGGCAGGTGAAAAGGGAAGGGCCCGGCCAGCAGCCCCAGCCCCTTCCCGAGGCAGGGAAGTGCAGCACAAAGCCCAGGGCCAAGGACACCAGGCAGGGCTGGAGGGACCAGGGACCAAGAGCCACCCCAGAACTGACACCCTCCTCCCACCAAGCCTTAGCCTCACTCCCAGCCCCAGGGTACCTGGGGCATCTTCAGACCGGTCTGCTCACACACGTACTGGCCGAACTGGTACATGGCTGGGGGGACTACCTCCTCAGCCTTCTGAAGGACAGCCTGGCTCTTGTCGCTTGGCCCCAGCAACTCCTGGTCATACACCAGGTAGACTGCACCCCCGGCCACACTGCCCTTGATGAGGAACCTGCAGTCAGGGAAGGACAGCCGCTCAGCAGCTCCTCGGGCACTCCTCGCTCTAGGCCCACGCGGGGAGAGGAGTCCGACTCCCGGGTGCCACAGTCCTAGGAGCGACACACCTGAAGCCAGGCAGCCAGTACAGAAGAACAAGGCACCCCGGGGGCCCAGAGGCGTGCCTGGCGCCTACTGTGCACAACACTCAATCTACACTGCGCAAAGCACAGCTACTCGGCCCCGCTGAACTGGTAAACTGAGGCCCGGAGAGGAAGAGGGGTCACTCGTGATCCCGCACACAGAGCAGGGAACCGTGAATACTTAAGACCCTTGACTTTCTGCCTTCCAGCCCCGGGAGGCACGACCTGCGCGCCACCCTCGAGGGGTTTCCAAGTGGCCCTGGTCGTTTCCCGTGTGTCATACGTCGCTCTGGGCACGCATGAACTTCCTGGTACAGCGCCTGCGGCATTCCCACCTTACAGAGGAGGCAACGGGGACTCCGACACAATCAGGAGGCAAGGGCTTGCTGGGAAGCGGGAAGGAGGCGACAGAACATCTCGGGAAGGCCCTCCCCGCCTGAACCTCAGTTTCCCCATCGGGGCGATGGGGACACGGAATTCGGAGATCCAGTTGGAAGCAAACGAGAGGTAGTGCCCACAGGAGGGGACTTTCTCGGGGGCTCGGGGCACACCCGGCAGCCCGACGCACCTCATCAGCGACCACACTCGGGGCACCATGGTCGCTCGGCTCCGCGCGCAAGGACACTCCACTCGCCCGCCGCTTCCGGTGACAGCGCCGCAGAGGCCTCTGGGAAGCGTAGTCGCCCTGGTCAGTCGCAAAGGCCTGCGGGAGTCGAAGTCGCGCGACAGCTCAGAGACGCCGGGAGAGGGACCGCAGCCCTACCGCGCTAAAGGATTCTGAGAAGTGTAATCTTCAGAGCCCGTCCGCCGCAAAGCTGCCTGGGAAATGGAGTCAGCACCGCCCAGTGAGGCGCCGGACGCCTCGCCTAGCCGCCGAGACTCCTGGGAAATGTAGACCGGCCTGGCACGGCCCGGGTAGCGTGGGGGGGAAAAGAGGAGTCAGGCGTCTAGAGTGAGGCCTGAAAGTGACCCAAGAAGATGTCGGGGCCCGGGAGATCCACCCGCGCCGGCGCGGGGAACTGAGGGCCCAGGACCAGGAAGAGTGTGCCAATAGCATGGTTGTCATGGCAACGCGACGGCGGAAATGTGCGAAAGAGGCGGGCCCCTGCGTCACGTGATCTGGTCCGGGGTAGGGCTTTCGTCCAGGGGGCGGGACCGGGACCAGGACTAGTGCCGGGAGGGGGCGAGCCCGGCGGAATGCCGTTGCCGGGCAACGCCCGGACACGGCGTTCCCGTGGCTAGGCCACGCCCCCTGGGGGGAGGTGGGCTCGGTGTCACGTGACCCGGGCCCTAAGGGAGGGGGCGCGGTCGGGGGTCCGGCCGGACGCTGCCTATTAGGGAGGTCCGAGGGGCGCGCGCCGGGTTCCCAGGCCCGGACCCCAGCCCCACTGGACGGTGGGAGAAACTGAAGCCCGAGTGGGTGAGTGCGAGGTTGGGAGCGCGCAGCACGTCGCACGCCCTTTTTGTCCAGAGGGGAAACTGAGGCCTGTCGAGGTCAGGGGACCAGTACGTTCTACGAGGGTCTGGTTCTCCCAATTCCTCCCCCATCGCAGGCGGCTGCTTCATCCATCCATCCACCCATCCATCCATCCATCCATCCGTCCATCTATCCATCCATCCATCCACCCGGACGGCCAGCCAGCTAGCCGTTCATCCTCCCGTCCCCACCTCCCCCTGCATAGCTGCTGGGGTCAAGGTGGGAAGAGAGTCAAGTTGCGGGGCTCCGCGGGCTTCCCCCGGAACGTGGGGAGAGGTGGGATGGCTGCCGTGATTGGGGAAGGGCAAGTGCACCTTTCTGAGAGCTGAAAAAGATTCATAGACAGTAATGGTGGAAGATGAGGATGGACAGGTGGGCCAGACCCGCGGGGCATTGTGGGCTGAGGTGAGGAGCTTGGTCTCCATGGGGGGCAGTGGCGGACCCTAGGAGGGTTTGGAGCAGGAAGGGGAACGTCAGATTTCTTTGGAAGATCCCTTTGGCTGCCGGAAAAGCATAGGGTGAGGGAGGGAGTAGGAGGATGGGGGAGGCAGCTGGAACTTTGCAGTGGGGGGCGAAGAACTGAGGCCTGGATCTAGAGATCTGAAGGCACCCCAACCCCACCATCTCTCAGCTCTGGAAGCCCCCCTCTCCTCTTTGTCCTACTGAGTTCAGAGGACAGACACCCCAAGATGTGATGGTCCTGCACCTTTCTCAGGGAAGATTCATGACCCGCTCCCCCCACAAACGTTAAGCTTTTGGCCTGTTTCTCTCTTTCACCTTCTCCCTGGAACAAGTAAATCCACTCCCACAGCTGAAGTCACATCTTAACTCTAATGACACAGGCCCCTGTGTCCCCTACCGAGCCCTAAGATTCCTTCTGGGTGTCTCCAGACAGAGCTGTCTTTCTGCCCCCGCCCCCCGCCCCCAGCTCTTCTCTGCAATGTTCTTCATATCACTCAGGGTCAGTCTGGTATCTGTTGAGCGTCCTACTGCATGTCTGGCACCGTTTGGGGCCCTGAGGACCTGACAGCGAACAAAGCAGCAGCAGGTTTCCATTTCCTTCCTGCCTCATGGAGCTGATAGTCTAGGAGGACAGAGGGCCAGTGAACATGTAAAAAATCATCAGGATAATTTCAGGTCCTGGCAAGTGCTGAGAGGCTGGCAGTTGTAGAGGGAGGCAAGGGAAGGAGAGGGACCAGGAGGCGCTCTAGAAAAGGAGGCCAGGGAATGTCCCTTGGAGGTCAGTTTTGTGCTGACTTCAAAGAAGTGAGAGAGCATCTCCTTGGGTTCTACTTGGGAAGAGCATTCCAGGCAGAGGCAATAGCCAATGCAAAGGCCCTGCGGCAGGTTGGAGACTGGCTGATTCTGAGGAACAGTGAAGAGATGGGTGTGGCAAACAGCCGAGTGAGCCAGAGGGGCTGGTCCCTGCAGGGCCTTTTTGACCATCAAGGAGGCTGGCTTTTGTCCTAAATGAAATAGGGAAGATGTTCAGCAGGGGGAGGCAAGATGTCATTTGGCTGCTTCGAGGAGGGAGAAAGCTGTTGAAATGGCCAGGGGAAGCTATGTAGTGACCTGAACCAGGCAGCAGCTGCCGAGATGGAGGAAAGAGGGCAGGGCCTGGAGCATCTTCATCAAACAAAGGCGCAGCTGGGGAAATGGGGGTGGCTGTGGGCCAGGCCTGTGCCTGTCCTCTCTCCCGCTGCAGAACCTGCAGACCCAGGGCTGGCCATGAAGGTTCTGCTCCTCACCGGGCTGGGGGCCCTGTTCTTCTCGTACTATTGGGATGACAACTTTGACCCTGGTGAGTGCCTGGAGGTGGGGGAGGGAGGAATCGGGCCAGCTGTCCGGTGCCGCCCCCGCCCCCCAGGATTGATCACCCCTGCACCCTGCTAGCTGGCCTGCAGGGAGCCCGAGTGCTGCTGACCGGGGCCAGCGCAGGCATTGGGGAGGAGCTGGCTTATCTCTACGCGCGCCTGGGCGCCCACCTGGTGCTCACGGCCCACACCGAGGCCCTCCTGCAAAAGGTGAGGCAGCCCATTTCGTGGGGCGGGAGTGGCTGGAAAACGGGGCCTGGGTGTAAATCCTTCCTTGCAAAGATTCAGGCTTCCGGGGTGACCTTAGGCACGTAGCTTAACGTCTGAGCCTTAGTTTCCTCTTTTGCAAACCAGAGACAATTAAAGTACCTTCTCCTGGGTTACGGTGTTGTGTTGATCCATTAAGACAGTGAGTGTAAGACAGGGAGTGTTCCTCAAAACTGGGGTTATTGGTGGTGTCCAAAGCCTGTGCCGGCAGCCAGGGTTCTCAGCCTCAGACAAGGGGTGGTGGACACTGCTCAGCAGCAGCCCATTGTGGCTCCAAGGAGATGTACGGTTCTTGGGGACGGACCTTGCAAAACTTCTAGAGAGGCCAGAAGTATCGAGATTTATATGAAATCCCCTGAGTTTTAAATGTTGGTATTGAGCAAATAAAACGTGCCCCATTTGGGCCCGCAGGCTGCCGGTCTGTGACCCCAGTGGCAGAGCTTTGGGAAGAATGTTGAATGTCACCTGAAGCTCCGAGTCGGGGAGGGGGCTTGAGGCTGGGGCCCCAGTGGTCTAGCAGGTGGAGGGGGCCCAGCCGGGGTGGACGGGCCCACGGGCAGCTCTGGCCCCCCCCAGGTGGTAGGGAACTGCCGGAAGCTGGGCGCTCCCAAGGTCTTCTTCATCGCTGCGGACATGGCCTCCCCTGAGGTGCCCGAGCGCGTGGTGCGGTTTGCGCTGGACAAGCTGGGTGAGGGGCGGGGCCTGGACTCTGGTACTGGGGCCTCGGCCTCACCGGGCAGGACCCGAAAGGGGTGGGGCCGTGGCAGTCGGTGGGCGGAGGTTTATGGGGTCCGGGGCGTGGCTGGGGGGGGGTGGAGGCTCATTGCCTCCAGGGGGCGGAACTCTGGACTGGGCCTTATTGGATCAGGGACGAATCCTGGCAGGATCCAGGGAGTAGGGCCCGGTCTCTTTGATATTAGGCGGGGAGCCACCCGGGGCGGAACTCACTGGGTCAGTGCTCTGGCCGGAGCTTCTCTAGTTCAAGGTGACGGGGCCAGGGGGGGGGGGGGGGGTCTCTTCGGGCCCAGGGGCGGAGCCTCAAGAACTAGCTCCTTGCTGATGGGCCTCTCCGGGACAGGAGGGCTGGACTACCTCGTGCTGAACCACCTCGGCGCCACCCCGGCAGGCACGCGGTCCCGAAGCGTCCAGGCGACACGCTGGCTCCTACAGGTGCCCCGCCCCACCGCGCCCAGCGCCCTAGCCTTCCAATCCCCAGGCTCCACCCTCCCCCCCGGCCCCAATTCCCACCTCAGGTCCAGCCTACCAGAGCCCGCCCACCGCCTCAAGGCCCCGCCCCTCCCGGGCCCGAGTGTCTCCGCGATGCGGTGACTCGCAGTCGCCACCTCCAGGTGAACTTCCTGAGTTACGTGCAGCTGACTTCGTTGGCGCTGCCCAGCCTGACGGACAGCAAAGGCTCTCTGGTGGTCGTGTCCTCGCTGCTCGGTGCGTGCCCGCGGGGCGGGGAGTCGGGAGGCCACAGGGCTTGAGGCGGGCGAGCCTGGGGAGGGCAGGAAGGCTCCCTGGAGGAGGGGGAGCGCCGTGTGGTCACTCAGCTGCTGTCTTCCCGCGCTCCTAGGCCATGTGCCCACATCCTTCTCCAGCCCATACTCGGCTGCCAAGTTCGCGCTGGACGGCTTCTTCGGCTCTCTACGGCGGGAGCTGGACGTGCAGGACGTGAACGTGGCCATCACCATGTGTGTCCTGGGCCTCCGGGATCGCGCCTCGACCGCCGAGGGAGTCAGGTGAGGCCCGGGGCCAACAGGGGCAGGGGGCTGTGGGGGGCCGCCCAGCTGCAGTCTCCACTGAGCCCTCCTGTCTCCAGGGGCATCACGAGGGCCAAGGCGGCCCCAGGGCCCAAGGCAGCCCTGGCCGTGATCCGCGGCGGCGCCACACGCGCCCCTGGTGTCTTCTACCCGTGGCGCTTCCACCTGCTCTGCCTGCTCCGGGGATGGCTGCCGCACCCGAGGGCCTGGTTCATCCGCCAGGAGCTCAACGTCACCGCTGCCGCTGCTGCCTGAGCCCCCGGCCGTGGCACTCCTTCATCTTCCCGGAGGGGAACCCTCCATCCAGCCGCCCCAGAGTGGCGGCGACACAAACCGAGACACCTCTGAGCTGTTGACCGTGGCTCAAGACAGAGTCATCAAGACAGAAAAGGACAACCGAGAAAGTCTACCAGCCCCTGGAAACGGTCACAACTACGGTCGGGGTGACACGGTTGCTGCTTTCATTTTGCAGATGAGAAAGCTGAGGCTCAGAGAGGTGGTGTGACTTGCCCAGGCCCCTGGCCATGTCAAACAGGGCACCCTGGGGACCCTGTCCATCTCCCACCTGGAGCCAGTGCCTCCCTGATCTCTTCTTTCCACTGACGCAACCTTGGAGCGTCCCCCTACCCTGGCCCCAAGCAGGGGACAGCCTTCAAACTGTTCACCTGCCGATGGGGTCTGAGGCGGGGAGGAGGGAAAGAATGTGTTCTGGGCTGGACCCAGCCTTCTGTTTCATAATAAAAATCCTTCCTCCCTTGCACATAGGTTGTTCACATTGCTTAGTTTTTCCAGTTTGCTGGTGGCAGGCGGGTAAAGAGGGATGTGTGTATGGGGACCAGACGACCAGACTTCTCCACCTGAGAGACGTAGATCTCACCTGGGAAGTCAGGGGTGCAAAGAAAGGTACTGACTCTGGGCCAAAGGCCTTACCTGCAGTATAAAGCACGTGATTTGTGTGCCGATGACGGAAATGTTTATCAGGCACTAAGCTCGTGACATTAGTGATCTCATGGCATCTTCACAATTGGACGTTGGTGCTACCATTGTTAATTTTTTTTTTTTTTAAGATTTTATTTATTTATTTGACAGAGGGAGACACAGCGAGAGAGGGAACCCAAGCAGGGGGAGTGGGAGAGGGAGAAGCAGGCTTCCCGCGGAGCAGGGAGCCCGATGCGGGGCTCGATCCCAGGACCCCCAGATCATGACCCGAGCCGAAGGCAGACGCTTAACGACTGAGCCACCCAGGCGCCCCCTTAACATTTTATAGATAAGGAAATGTGCTTGGAGAGAGGGAGGAAGGGGCACCTGGGTGGCTCAGTCGGTGAAGCATCTGCCTTCAGCTCAGGTCATGATCCCAGGGTCCTGGGATGGAGTCCCACATCAGGCTCCCTGCTCCGCGGGGAGTCTGCTTCTCCCTCTCCCTCTGATCCTCCTCCCTGCTTGTGCTCTCTCTCTTTCTCAAATAAATAAATAAAATCTTAAAAGAGAGAGAGAGAGGGAGGAAGTCCGTGGCAGGAGGTAGGATTCTGACAAGGGACTTTAAACAAAGTGTTGGCTATATTTATCTGCACATCAATTTTAGTGAAAAATTGACACTTCCTCTCCATAAAATGATAAATTAGTGTGGTTTGCATAAAGAAAAAGCAACTGCACAGTTAAAAACTGTGGAATAAATACAATATTGCAAAATGCTAGCTACTGTTGGCTGTGCAAAGCTCTAGAATTAGCAAGTGTTACAAGGGTTAACCACAAAGAGACTAGCCCAAAATGGAGCCATCATTTGGGAATAAGTAGGATTGAAAGATAAAAACCAGAAAAAAATTTTGTTTGTTTGTTTCTACCATGGCTCCAGTCCCTGCACCACCGAAAATTACATCAAATTATATCAAACGCCGTCAGGGTGTACTATACCAAATCGCCTTCTTCAGTTCTAACACAGTTTGGTGTCATACAGAATGAAGCCAATATCTGTTTATGGAAATTTTATTTTGTGTCGAGTACCATTATATCTTACTCGAACAGTTTGGAATAGGTACTATTATTGTCCTCATTCTAATAAAGATTTTTTAAAAAGATTTTTATTTATGTATTTATTTGAGAGAGAGAGAGAATGAGCAGGGAGGAGAGGGAGAAGCAGGCTCCTCGGGAGCAAGGAGCCCCACGCGCGGCTGGATCCCAAGACCCTGGGATCATGACCTGAGCAGAAGGCAGACGCCTAACCAACTGAGCCACCCAGGCGCCCCTGATTCTCGTCATTCTATACACGAGGAAATTCAAGTACTGGGAGCTGAAGTTCCTGGCGCAGGGTCCCTAAACCCGGGCCCAGGTGGGATTAGCCTACAAGCTGTAGAAGTAGGATTCGAACTCTCAACCCATTGGCAAAGGAAGTCATTTCAGCTCCGGCCAAAGCTAGTTTCAACCAGCTACTGTAAGCGCGCATGCGCAGGGAGAAGGTTCGCGCATGCGCGTGGAGACCGCAGGGCCTCCATCCGCCAGGGGGAGCGCGCGGCGCTTCTGCCTCTCTGGCCCGCTCAACCCGCGGAAGCTAGATAGCCCAGAGTTCCGCGGGGCGACAGCCCTTCCGCCGCGGGAGCCATTGAGGAGTGGCCGGTAAGTGTGGCAGCGGGAGTGTAGGATCTGCTGCCATCTGGACTCCGGGGCCCCCTTGCGTCTTAGGGCTATGGCTGGGCGCCGGGAGGGAGTCCGGGGGAGTCGGGACGCGGGGTTCCGGGCGGCGGGGGCCGAGCCCGGACTCACCTCCGCTCCCCTCTCCGCTCCCGTTTGCAGCCATGGCTCTGCGCTACCCTATGGCCGTGGGCCTTAACAAGGGCCACAAGGTGACTAAGAACGTGAGCAAGCCGAGGCACAGTCGCCGCCGCGGGGTGAGTGCGGGCGCGCGCGCTCTGGGGGCGTGTTGGCGGAAGGAGAGCAGGGCCCCGGCGACCGAGCGACGGAGCGCGCGGGGGGGGTGGGCAGCGGCGGCCTGGGCGGTTCGAGCGTAAAGGGGGTGGAGGCGTAGGGCTCGCCCCGGCGGCGGGTGGACACCCCTGGGAACCGCGTGCGCGGCGAACGGACGCTGGGGCGAGGCCGTCAGGGGGAGGAGGTCCCGGCCCAAGCGGGGGCGTCCCGCTGTGGGAAGGCGGGCGTGAGGGGCTGCACGCCCCCGTTGCAGCGGACCCCAGGCCCCGAGCGCCTCGCCCTGACGGCCCCCCGTCTCCCCAGCGCCTCACCAAGCACACCAAGTTCGTGCGGGACATGATCCGAGAGGTGTGCGGCTTCGCCCCCTACGAGCGGCGGGCCATGGAGCTGCTCAAGGTCTCCAAGGACAAGCGCGCCCTCAAGTTCATCAAGAAAAGGGTAGGTGCATTGTCGCGCGCAGGGGCCAGGCTGGGACTCGGGGTCCGGACTGAGCGCCCTTCTTGCCCGGCAGGTGGGGACACACATCCGCGCCAAGAGGAAGAGAGAGGAGCTGAGCAACGTCCTGGCTGCCATGAGGAAAGCTGCAGCCAAGAAGGACTGAACCCCTTTCCCTCTATGTAATAAAGCCTTTTCAGAACTTGGGGGTCTTGTGATGGTCTGGGGAAGGAGGGGGTGAGCCTTCCAGGGCGCACTGGTGAGGGGCAGGATGTATAGAACAAGCAGTCAGGCAGTACTGGAAAGGGGTTTTAATCATAATTAAATATTCATATATGTCAGACTCCGTGATTAAGCCAGAATTGAGGTCCTTCAACTTGGGCCTCTGCTGAGCCCCTTGGCGGTTCAGTTGCCCAGAGCTCCTTCGCCCAACCGGGCCTGTCTGTGCCAGCAGAGCCCTGCCTGCCGTCACCGCTCCACGGCCAGGGCCTCCGGCTGCTCCTCGGGGAAGGCAATAGTGAAGATCTCACGGTAGTGCTCCACGAAGTGGACCTCCAGGCCCTCGGTGATGAAGGCAGCCAGGTCATAGAAGTCCTTCTTGTTCTCGGCTGGCAGGACGACGCACGTCACTCCAGCACGCTTGGCCTGCGAGGGAGCGCCCACGGGCACGTCAGCTGAGGGCAGCTCGGTCCGACCAGGCTCCCCTGCCCACCCTATCTTGCAACTGAGGAAACGAGCCCAAACCCCATTCCCAGCCTCTATTCCAGGAGCCTGTCTCCCAGAGACCCTGTTTTCTAATGAATCACAGTAACCAAGGCCTTCAAAGGAATTAAACTGCATTAAAGCACGCCCAGCCTTACTATACAGCCTGAGGGCACCTGTGAGCTCCGGACTCCCGTCTCTGCTCTGCCCATAGTCCTCCAGGGCTCCCACTGCCAGGCCCCACTTCACCCTGCTGTTGCCTCACTACCCCTTTGGGGGACCATCCAGGGACACAGCAGGTGTGGCCTTATTTCATCTCCCCCTGTGCAAGCGAGGAAAGCGAGGTGTAGAGTCTCTAAAGCTGTGGACTCGACCTTGTAGGCAGGTCAAGGGAGGGATGGGGGCTGCAGGTAAGGCCAGGTTTCAGGAGACAGGGGATCCAGGGCTGGATGACAGGGCTGGAGTCCCAACACTTGGGGGGAAGCCAAGGACTAGCTGGTCAAGGTAGGCGTCTCGCTGCACCCCCAGGAGGCCATCCTCTCCTTTTTCTGCATCCCCGATTCTTGGTGCTTGGTTGAGGAGGAAGCAGGAGAGCAGCCAAGATGGGAACTCTCCTCCAAGAGGCAGAGGACCACCGTGGAGAGGGGCGGCTAGGACGCTCCACTCAACATGGGCCCAAATCCTAGTCCGTAAGCGGCTGGTGCCCTTGCCTGCCTGAGGCCAGCGCCATGGGGGGGGGAGGGGGTCACGGGGTCACACTCACCGCAATGGTCTTCTCCTTGATGCCGCCCACCGGCAGGATCTTGCCCGTGAGGGACACCTCGCCTGTCATGGCCAGGTTTGGCCGCACTGGCCGGTCCATCGCCAGGGAGAGCAGGGCCGTGACAATGGTGCAGCCGGCGCTCGGGCCATCCTTGGGGGTCGCACCCTGGTGGGGAGAGGCAGGTGGGGGTGGGCGGGCTGGATGAGGGCTGGGCACTGCTGGGGCCGGGGCCAGAGCGGGCAGGTGGGGCCTCACCTCGGGCACATGCAGGTGGATGTGGGAGGTCACCAGGTAATCATTGGAGGGGTCCTGCTGCATCAGGAAGGCCCTGGCGAAGGTGTAGGCAATGCGAGCACTTTCCTTCATCACGTCCCCCAGCTGGCCTGTCACCTCCAGGCTTCCATCCTTGTCCCCCTTGCTGTCCTTGTCTCGGGGCCGCCGAGGGGACGTCTCAACAAACAGGGTCGAGCCTCCTGAGAGACCAGCCGCAGAGGCTGTGAAGCCGGGACCCCCTCCCCGAGCCTCACAGTGGGGCGCCTAGGGGACACCCGGGTTTCCTCTGTGCTCTCCCTCTGGCCTGCTGCCCCCCTGCTTCGCACCGCAGCGCCGCCACTGGGACTGCTGGTTCACATGGACACAGCGAGGGCGCGGCCTCCCAGCACTGAACCCCAATTCCTTTCAGTCTCATCCAAACGAGCAGGTACTGCACTGTCCCGAGCCG